TCGATCGTCTGAATCTCTCTGGCGGTCTGTCTGTCTGTCTGTCTATTGTTTTATGGCTGCCACGAGGAGTGGCTGTGTCCCCTGATAATTGATGAATTTATTACCCAACATGGAGTACAGTACTCCTACTCCTACTCGCTGCCTGCCTGCCTGCCTGCCTGCCCCACGTTGTTCCCTGTTGCCTGTTGCCCAATCACTTTTACTGATTGGAAACTGCTGCTTCTGCCTCTCTCTTTCGCTCTCTCCATCCAACGTCTTATCACGTGCCCCAGAGTGTGCCGTCTGCCTGATGAAGTGCCGTCAGCCGTTTGTCGCGTAGGGTTCTTCATCTAATTGTGTTTTTGTGCAACTAATCTTGCCCCCTGCCTAATGGGTGGCTTAACATTTGGAATGAAAGACCGAAATTCTCGGAATCCATTCCGTAGTCCGTTTGTTCGCGTGTAAAGTGCATTTTTCGGGCGGAGAGCACTCCGCTCTGCTCCAATTTCTGCTCCATTTCTGCCCCAATCTAGCCGCTCCGCTCTTATTGCTCTTTGTTTCCGCTGCGCTTCTGCTCGACACTTGATTGTTTGTGATTTCTCCACCGATTTCTGATTTCGGGGGCATCCACACACTCCACTCCATTCCGCTCCATTCCATTCCATTGTTTTCCAAATGCGGCACGTTCTGGCCATTTATGGCGGCACGCATGGCCAACAGCAACAGAAGCCAAGAAAGCTGATTGGCCCCAGAGAGCAGTTGTTGATTGGGAAGCTATTGGCACTATTGGTGCTATAGTTTCATAGCAGCGACCTATCCCAAGATGTTCTCGAAGATATCACATTATTAAAGACTTTTTTCGATGGTAGTTCTGGTAGAACAGGCAGGGAATGTCCCCCTTGAGTATCCCTAATGGTTTAGCCATGATTCACGGATGTGAGCCACTCCAGCTGTCGTAGTGGACACATCTGTCCACCAAAACTGAAGGGCCTGCCATCCCAAATAGAGATACAACCAAATTCCACCCCCAAAACGCCGTAGGTACTCTCCCTCCCTCGAGGGACCCTTTGGCGGTGGCGGGGTCGGGGGTTAGTGCAATAAAATATACAATACCTCCATTTGTTGTAGATTCCCTTGTTGGCCATAGAAATTTCCCAATTAACACACGACAAATATTTGGCCAGAGATGTTTTTCTCGATGGAATATTCTTTTGCTGATTGCGAGATCTTTTTTGTTTTTTTTTTTGTTTTTTGGATGAACCGACAGGTGCCATAATTCCCATAAAATACCATTTTCCAGGGCCCCGTGGCAACACACACACACACACACGAGAGAAAAACAAAATAATTTAGATAAAACATATGACGCCTACAATATTTTTGCGTAAGAGAAACGATAGCAAATACGAGTATATATGTACATATGTATGTACAATATGTAATACATGGCACGTGAATGGATATATGTATGCACAATATATGGGGGTGCGGTGCGTGTTTTCGTGGTCTGATTTGCATATATTATTTATTCAACTTCTAAATTGCAAATGGAAACATGTTACGAGGTGTTATGAATGCTCTTTTGGCTTTGGCTATGGCTTTTGGTATGCCTTCGGGTACCGAAAGGTAAGCTGATGCTCTGACATCTTTTCATTTGCATATTTATGATGACCAAAAAGGAAAATGAAACATGCCCCAAAAAGTGTAACAAAGAATGCCAGTAGGTGGGTTGGGAGCTTTAGGAGAGACACAGAGAGAAAGAGAGAGTGAGGGAGGGGGAAGTCAACGAAATTAAAGATGCCAAAGGCAACATTTTTGTGGCTCTAACGAGGCAATTAGATGTGTGCGTCCGTGGCCTTCTGCTGGTCATTGTTTGCCTTGCATCTGTATGTGTATGTACATATTTTTCTAACCCTAAGGGAACCCCAACGGAGAAATGTCAAAAAATTGCCGACTAATTCCCTGGAATGCGGGTGGGTTCTCTCGTTCTCTCTCCCCCCCCTCCCAACTCGAATCTCCTCTCCCTGGATTCTGGATTCGGTAAACCGGTTTCTGCCACGCGTGACAGCAACAACAGAGCCAAAATGAGCTCGAAATTGTCATTGTCCTCGAAGGATAATGACTGACGAAGGACTGTAATGACTGTAAAACAGGATAATGCACATGCAGCACAGCTGTACAGAGAGGAGGGCGGCGGAACACCTCTATGAAGAGTGATTTCCATGCAAATTAAATGGCATGGCATGGGATCGAATGAACTTTTCCCCAATATGAAATACGAGAAGAACCAAACCGAACCGAAGCCCACGCAAATGGAGAGGAAAACCTCATTTGTTGAAAACTTTTTTACGACCCCAAGCATTTGAGATAAGAACACAAATCGATCGAGAAAGCCAAGCCAATCCAAGTCAAGCCAAGCCGCTGGAAATGGTAATCCCCGTCCTAAAGTGTTTTGTCTGCCATAAGAAAATCAAATCAAATCGAATCAAATTAAATTAAATCAATTCCCCAACGAAAGTGACAATAAAACTCAACGAGTTTTCTGTCTGTCTTTCCTTTTTAACTGGCGGTCTCCGTCTGTCTCGGGGCACTACAATTTTCATGTTGTTGCCTTGGACTGTCTCTCCCTGTCGCTGTCTTGCTGTTCATTTCCATTTCCATCTCCATCTCCGTTTCAGGCTCTTGACGTGACTGATGTGGGCGTGGCACTTGTGTGGCATGCAAATCATGTCAAATGTCACATTCAACTTCCACAAAAAACTGCAGCTTGCAGCTGCAACATCGGAGGCAAGTCGATGCGAGTCGAGGCTCTTCGTTCTGTTTCTCGTTTATCGCGTTTCGTATTGCATGAGGAGATGGGCATGTAAATGGGGATGGGGTTACCCCATAAGAACTTCCTTTTTATGGAACGAAACGGGTTACCCCTGACCTTCAGCCCATTCGACTTGTTAAGGAGGTGTTTCTGTTTTCTGTTCTCCTTTTTTCTTCTCTTTTTTGGGCAGAACTTCACGCCTCCCATTGTACAAACAAAACTGTGTTGTGTTTGGACAGCTGCTGCTGTTGCATAAAGCTACTGTATTCTGTATTCTGTAGGCGATGGGGCACGGCGCTCTCTTGGTCACGGGTGTGAGGTAACGTGAGCTTAGAGCAGGGGTGCGTCCCATCACCATCATTATCTTCTGGCTAATTGAGCTTTCTGTAGGGTAAACACATTCCCAATAATGGATAGTGTCTGCATTCGATATGTTCTTCGAGCCATAGAATTTGAAGTTGTATCGAATGATGGGGCGGGGCGGTGGAGGGCTGTCTCCAATAGCCGAATGTTTGTCACTCAAATAGAAATTGGAACAAGAATATCATCGTCTGACGAGAGGGCAGAGAAACATAATACCACATAGAAATGTTTATGATATGTGGCTATTCGAGAGGTTGCCATTGGATATCTTTAAAGGGATGCACTTAAATGATAAAATATGGGGATATTAATAGATAAACAGTTCTCTCAAGAGATCTGTTTTGTCGAACGAGTAGTCTTTTTCATTCAAATATCGAGAAAAGAAACTATTAAAACGATTAATTATCACAAAAACATTTTCGCATCTTCATACATCCCTATACAAATTTTGAATAAAATAAGCATTATCCGTTCGATGGAGTATTCTTGAAAACGATATATTTTCTTTGATAAATCCCTAAAAACTGTTAACAAAGTGAGATATCTTAGATCATGCCTCTGAAAATTTGAATATTTAGACCTAAAGTCTGATACTACCTATAAAAATCCACTTCTCTATTACGAACTTTCGTACAACGACTTTATTTTCAGAACGCTGCAATTTCGTCCAATTTGTATTACGTTTTGCTCTCCTCATAACAAATTTCCTTATAGCGAATGTAAAGTTTCTTTACTACGTTTGATTGTGGTTTCCTAGAAAGAGTTCTAAAGAGTTCTTTGTAGTATTGGGAAACTTTGGGAGCTTGAGGCAAGTGTAGGATAATTGTATAAATAAAACAAATTTATTCGCTTGCGTAAGCATCCTTACAGTTTTTTTTTAGATGGAAAAGTGCAAAAATCCAATGCAATTTTCTTATTACGAAATCTGTATTACGAATATTCCGTGTAACGAATTTTTGTTTGGTCCCGTAGAGATTCGCTGTATGGAAGTTCGACTGAGGGGTATCAATTACGCGATATCTATCGATTCGTACTCTTCTTTAGATAAACCAGGAGCTCGGTTTTCCTTCAAATAATCTATAATCCAAACGCTTTTTATTCAAATATACGAATAGAGTATGCAAATAAAAGCAAGCAAGCAAACGAAACGAAACGAACCGAACGACTTGGTCTATAAGAACGAGTACCGTAAGAGACACACGAAGCGAAGCCACGGAGCCGACACGACACGACTCGATACGAAACGACACGACGCGTGGCCGAGCAAAAGCCGAAGTGCAATCAGCTGATAGCGGATCAGCCCCGCTGTATGGCTGTGGCTCTGCCACACAGAACGGCATAGTCTGCGGAGTCGCCTGCTGCGGTGCGGAACACACATTCGAGAGCGAAGCGCAAGATACGACTTCGAGTGCGAGTACGAGTACGAGATACAAGATACGAATCGTGACAAACAGAAAAAACTATAAGAGAAATAAGCAGCAATTTTTGCTACGTCTGTGGTTTGGCAGCGGCTTTTGTTTTTTGAATTTCGGAGCTTGGTTTTTGTTTTTTTTTTTTGGGTGCCCCGCGGCTAAACTTGAAATCACAAAAAGCTGATTCGGCATTAAAGAAAGATACAAGATACAAGATACCCATGCAGATGCAGATTTTGTGAGCACTGAAGATAAACCCATACAATACCATACCAAGTGAAGTGTGCGAATACGCGGTGAACCCCACAGCGAGATACATTATTTATATTGTCCTGGATTAAATATATCTAAGTCTATCTCGATGTTGTGCCAACTCTAAGCTCAGACAAAACCCCCAAAAGATACTCGAGCTGCCATTGAAATCCGCTGCCAAAATGTTGGACAAACAGAGCTCCATCTCGATGTCCGGCTCCTGCTGCAGCTCGAATGCAACGAACGCGGACCTGGACTACGATGTGCCCGTCTCGCGGCGCATCCACATCAAATCGGTTAGTATCTGCAGATATGCACTCACCGATCCATAAACTATACCGCTTTAGCGCGGAGATTAAGACGTTGAGGAGGCCTGGCCTCCTCCAGGATCATCTCATCAGCCATGCCACTATCTGCATGCCCCATCTGCCAGACTGCCAGACTGCCAGACAGCCAGGCTGCCAGTCTGCCAGACGTCGCCACTTCTTCAACTGTTGCGGTTGGTGGCACTGTTGTGACAGAGCCGCCGCTTGGCCACAGTTTGAGCCTGAAATTGTAACGGATCTCGCTCTTTCTATCTTTGGCAGCTGCCAAGAAAAGTTTCCGCAATTTTCCATTCGTTATCACCTCCGTCAGAGTCGACACCGTTTGATGTTCTACTTTACGGCTTCCCAGGTGCGATATCGCAATGTCGTGATAACTCCTCCTCCTCGCACAGGTGATGCCTGCTAAATCTTTTAGTGCTTAGAACGTCTCAAGTTCTACTGTCGAAAAACAACGCATGAGCTCATCGCGATAAAGAATCTACTACGCTCTGCTCTACCCTACTCTCTTGTGGTTCCCCAAAAAGATATACATACATACATATACTATGTATTCAAGTGAAAGACGAAGGAGCCCCCGATTAGATTGGGTATCAAGTGGGCTTTCGATTAGTTTTATTAGAAAGAATGTTGGAGCTTTGACTGATATCGATCGCAGAGAAAGAAGAGAAAAAAGATTCGTTTATAATTTCTCACCTAAAGTGGGATCTCATTAGAGCACCGCACTTCACCGTCTCCTTTGCCTCTATTCAACAATGGCCGACACTTGGCCATAATCATTACCGATCACTTGTGAGTTCATTTAAAGTCCACTTTAAAAATTCCAATTGATTAAAGTATGGAATGCATTCCAAGTCGCATTCCAACTCGTTTTTCTTCTGCACGACGGGTACGGGCTGTGAAGGAAATATGATTTAATGGCCGGGCGGCACTCAATCGATCTGCGATCGGCGATCGGCGATGTCCGATCTGCGACGAATGTTGATCAATAGATTTATGCTGCCATATATTTTCATCAGTGCCCCCAAAAGTCATTCAATCAACATCAACATCAGCGCTCCGACGACGCCACACGCGGACGTGCACGCGGACATTAATTCTAATCAATTTTCTCCGAGTCCCCGCGTCACTTGTGGCACACTCAAAAATTAAATGTCGAAGGAGAAATATATGTCTAGACGGAGTGGAGAGCCAGAGCTGTGGGGCGCCCACTTAATCAGTGAGAGGAAAATGTGGAAAATTATGTCCCTCAGGGAGTCTCTGCTGCTCCGCTCCGGTCTGCTCTGCTCTGTTCTGCGGTTATCCTGCAGATAAACCGACGACTGGAAGACCTGAAGACCTCCTCTGACATAATCGTAATTAATATTGAGAGATATGCCGCTGGAGACGATGGATGCTACTTGGGTTTAGTTTTTTTTTTTATCGGTTTCGGTTTCGTTTGCGTTCCTTAAGTTGTTTCCCTGACAATTTGAGGGTCTTTTTGTCTTTTGTCTTTGGTTTTTGGTTTTTGGTGTGACGCTCAATTAAGACTGATTAGATTTTGCCCAGAAATGTTGTGTGTGTGTGTGTGCGTGTTTGGGCAGGGCAGCCCTTGGACTTGCCCTTATCGTTTCGGTCATGCCTATTCCGCTATTACCCGATAAGGGAAACCCATTCCCATGCCCGTGCCCGTGCCCGTGCCCCTGCCTGTGCGCCATTCCTTCAATCAATTGCCTAGACAACGTGCGTGGTCTTTGGGCTCCTGAGAATTTATTGCCTTTTGGGGCGCTTGCCTGGGTTCTCTCTTGGCTTGGCCCTTGATTATTTATAGGCTTCTTTCGCACTTGGCCTTTCAATCAATTGAAATCCTCGGCAGAAAGAAATCAACGCTCCACGTTCGCGACTATTAATAACTGATTTTATTTGCCATGCCACAGGGGGATCTATCTATCTATCTGAATGCCTTACTTGGGATAGCTCCCTCCTCCTGTACGTCCTCCATTACTCCTCCATTAGTCTCCCCTTAATTGCGGGCCTTCAGTCAGGCGCACGTCCTCGGGATGGGATGGGTTGTGGATGGAGATGGCGATGGCGATGGAGTCCAGGGTCTAGGCAGATCTATTAATTGCCATCAGTCAGCGGCATGCTAATAAACCCTTTAGGTACCCTTTGGTGGAGGTACCATTGACTGCCCAGAGGTGGGAGCGTGACACGACTTCATTCGCGGGGAGAATCAAAGAGCGGACATCCAGAGATGTCTTGGAAGGTCGAGGCACGTGTGCCTCAATTGCCTCGTGCGTGCAGCCATCGCTACCATCTCTGCATTCAAAGACCTCCAGACATGGCACCCCAGAGGAGATTGTGTCGGAAAGCCATCTTCGAATGTTTTCCGCTGTTTGCATTTTGAAATCTAAGCTGAGAACTGGAACCGGCTTCTTGCCAGACATCTCAAGACACGCTCCAGCGTCAATTACTTTTCGCATTTGTGCGCATTTGGAGCACATTTATTTTAATCTCACCTGTGTCTCCCTCTCTACCTCCCTACCTCCCTATCTCCCGCCTGTGCCTGTGTCTGTGTCTGTGTCTCTTCTGTGCCCCTCCTGTTTCTTTTGGTCTCTCGATCTCCGTGATGGATGCATCTCTGTGGAGCCAGAGATGCCACTGCCCCTGCGGCAGCCCTTCAATTATGGGCCCATACTTTGTGTCAGCGACTGTTAGACCAGGGTACAAGTAACCAAAACAGGACTCGCAGACACGACTCTTGTAATTAGCCGTTGTTGTTTATTTAATTTCAAGCTTAATAACGACAACGACAGCGACAGGCAACAGCCACAGCCACAGCCACAGAATATTGAGTGGCGAGTACTACTCGGAGTAGAGGTAGAAGAGGTACAGGTAGCAGAGGGTAGAGTGTTGTGTGGAGTGCATTTGCATTTGCATTTACATCTGTGCTCTCGGGGAGCTGCTGTCTCCCCCCTTTCCCCTTCCCCCCTCGCCCCCTTGCCCCACTTGATGGCCAGACACACTTTACTCGTGTAAAAGCCAGAGACAGAGACAGATACAGAGAGCTCTGAAGTCGTAAGTAAGCTAATTTATTTCAGTGCTCAAGTTGTGCAAACATTTTGCGAATTCAAATTTGTTTAACAGGTTGTCCGGCGCAGCTATTGGCAGCAGCTGGATATTGATGAATGAGAGGCAAGGTTAAGGTAAGGAATGAGATGCAGCAGAGAGATAGACGGATCAGAAATTAATTAAAGAATCTGTCATTAAAGGTATCTCTTGGGCTACTTATGGAACGGATAGATAGATAGATAGTTAGAGAGACATTCAAGACAATAATTCCATTACCACAAGCACGCCTCTTCAACCTTTGTCCAACAGCAGCTCTTCAACACCTTTTCCGCCATATCATATATGGTTTTTCTATAGGCCTTTTGAAACACACACACACTCAGACCCAAACCCAGACCCAAACCCAGACCCAAACCCAACGAAGAAGAAAAACTTTCGCTTTTTGTGCGCTCAAAGGCATTTTATCTCCCGCAGTCGCATTCGACACTTGAGTTGAAGTTGAAGTTGAGGTTGCGTTGCGTTTGGCCATATATTCATATATTGTATTATCTAACAATTGGTGGCGGTGGCAGTGGCAGTGGCAGGCGGCAGTCATGTGCTACCAGCAACCTAACGAACCTCTACGTCCACACGCTGCTTATCATTTTTGCCGAAGCAAACATGTCAGCCAAATGGATTAGAGGGAGAGAGACACGGGAAATTATGGCCAAGAGAGTGTCGATAATGAGGAAAATACGACCATAAGTACAGGTCGCTCAGGTGTGTGTCTGCGAGTGTCTTGGCCTTTGGCACTTCACTGTTTCTGTATCTTTCTCACTCACTCTGCATTGCGTTGCCACTTTCCCGCTGGCCATGCAGAAACGTGAGACAAATGCACCGACTGTCCGCGGGACAACTGTTGATAAGAGGCAGGTGATAAGAGCGCCGCCCCTGTGCTGTGAGCTGCCATGTAAACATGAGGCGAATACATCACTAAATCAGTAAATAAAGCGTAAGGATTGCCCTGCTACCTCACATTCCTCTGAAAGGGGTATCCATATCTGAAGTTCTTTCTGCCGAGATTCCAATGCTGAATATTGAACATACCGATCGTAGCAGAATGAAGAGAACAAGTTTCCAGTACGGGGTATCCCACTCTATGCAAACGAAGTTCTTTCCCCGTTCCTTCTGGCAATGCCAACTCTTTAGAAAAGGGTATAAAAGACTTCTCTTTGAGAGGGCAGGTATCTTTACAGTCGGAATGTTGAGTATTTCTCTTTCTTATTTGTTCTTTTGTGTATCTATGGGATACGAATGCGCATTGTTTGTCCGACGGATGGAGAGGCGAGTACGTGCACAAGTTTACATTGTGAAATATGAATATGTCATGTCACGTCCAGGACCTCACTCACACCTCCCTCCAAAAGGGAGAGGGAGCGAGCAGAGAATGGGGAGCCTGACTTGACTAATTGGTCTACGAATCGGAGTCGGAGTTGGAGTTTGAGTTGGAGTCCGAGTCCGAGTCGGAGTCGGAGGAGTCCTTCAAATGTCGTAGAACCCAGGTGCAACATTGGGCCTGAGGTCGACTGTATTGTTCCGAGTGTTTACTACGGATAAACAATTGCAAATTGGCCTTAAAGGCAACCGATAATTTGCACTACATTGCTCTCTGTATCTTGCTCTTTACTCGCTGGCCGTATCTCGGTCTTTAGTTAATGGGCCCCCAGCCACACCGGAAATGTGTTATGGAATGAGCTTGTCATCGTTTATGGCCAGGAGAGAGAGGGAGCAGCCGTACTCTGGGGGGGAGGTCTTCTCCTTCTCCCCTGCTCTTCTTCTCTCTCTCTCTCTCTCTCTAGATAAGGACTGGAGGCAAAACTGGTCGTAACCGAGCCAGCCATCAGCTGAGCGAGCAGAGGAGAGCAATAAAACTTATATTGTGG